AATCCAGTAGCCATCATGCAAGGAAATGCAGGTTTATTCATTTCTAGAACTGTTATAACAATGCATCCACTAAGTACATAGGTTGAAACAATAAAAAAATCTGTTATTTCAAGTTCTAGAGGCTAGAAGTCTGAAATCAAGGTGCTGGTAGGGCCATATTCCTGGAATTTTGAAGCTTGTGGAGGCAAGTTCTTTGCTTCTTCTTAATCTCCAATGGTATGCTGGAATTTTTTTGCCTATAGATGCATTAATTCAATTCTTCTTCCTATGTCTTCCTGCGTTGTCTTTTCCCATCTCTCTCTGTGTGCACCAATTCCCCTTTTACAAAAAGAATACCGGTCGTATTTTATTAGGGACCATCCTAATGACTTGACTTTAACTTAATTACCCCTGTAAAGACCCTCTCTTCAAATAAGGTACCATTTTTGAGGTACCAGGGATTAGAACAGTAACATATGTTTTTTGGGGGACACAAAATACAATCCACAACACTAGGTTACAAGGAGAGGACACGTGTTGATGGAGATTTTATCTGACAACAACCACTGCCATTCGTGGAAGTGAAGAAGCCTTTGAAATGACTCTAGTCCTAGTCATCATCCGACTGTAACTATGTAAGACATGTTGAGTGAAACATGCCTAGATGATCATAGTCAAGGCCAGAAACATGAAAGATAATAACATAGCTATTGTTGTTTTAAATAACCCTAATTTAGGTTTATTTTAGCAATAATTACTGGAATATGTCATGGTGGGACGGTAAAGAAGTTTCTCCACAAAAAGTTCCAACATACTCTACTTTGATCCTGTGGCTGGATCAGTATGAGTTTGTTCGGGCATTTGTAAGGGTGAACGCGTGTTTTGTGTGTGATAGAGGTCCATATTGCACTGGATTTCTTCCCATGCCAATTTTTCTTTCGATTTTCTTTCACAAGATTTAAATCTCCAGGGCATTTCCTTACATTTGTACTTTAAACTCAAACTCAGAGCTTGTCTTCCTGCCCTTCACACAGGCCTGATACAGTCCATTTAGACAGGTCAAAATATAATCTGAGGATTATCATATTAAACTGAAGAATTAAAACTTTAATGTTATGACTCTAGAGGATGGCCAACAACCACTATATTCTGTTTCTCTAATACTTCATCAACATCACTTATGATATGACATTCAAAATCATGTCATGAGATAGCTCATTGATAAAGCAGAATGGTCCCACAAACAATGTCAACTGCAGAGCACTTTTTTTTTATTTTTTAAATACTTATTTTTTAGTTGTAGATAAACACAGTATCTTTATTTTTATTTATTTATTTATTTATTTTTTTATTGTTGGTCGTTCAAAACATTACACAGTTCTTAATACATCATCTTTCACAGTTTGATTCAAGTGGGTTATGAACTCCCAACTTTACCCCGTATACAAAT